CTATCTTTTAATGTTTTTAGCTCCAGCAGTTGCACTCTCCTTCCAGGTATATAATGAGCTATCTTTTAATGTTTTAGCTCCAGCAGTTGCACTCTCCTTCCAGGTATAATGAGCTATCTTTTAATGCTTTAGCTCCAGCAGTTGCACTCTCCTTCCAGGTATAATGAGCTATCTTTTAATGTTTTAGCTCCAGCAGTTGCACTCTCCTTCCAGGTATAATGAGCTATCTTTTAATGTTTTAGCTCCAGCAGTTGCACTCTCCTTCCAGGTATAATGAGCTATCTTTTTAATGTTTTAGCTCCAGCAGTTGCACTCTCCTTCCAGGTATAATGAGCTATCTTTTAATGTTTTAGCTCCAGCAGTTGCACTCTCCTTCCAGGTATAATGAGCTGTTTTTTAATGTTTTAGCTCAGCAGTTGCACTCTCCTTCCAGGTATAATGAGCTATCTTTTAATGTTTTAGCTCCAGCAGATGCACTCTCCTTCCAGGTATAATGAGCTATCTTTTAATGTTTTAGCTCCAGCAGTTGCACTCTCCTTCCAGGTATAATGAGCTATCTTTTAATGTTTTAGCTCCAGCAGATGCACTCTCCTTCCAGGTATAATGAGCTATCTTTTAATGTTTTAGCTCCAGCAGTTGCACTCTCCTTCCAGATATAATGAGCTATCTTTTAATGTTTTAGCTCCAGCAGTTGCACTCTCCTTCCAGGTATAATGAGCTGTTTTTTAATGTTTTAGCTCCAGCAGTTGCACTCTCCTTCCAGGTATAATGAGCTGTCTTTTAATGTTTTAGCTCCAGCAGTTGCACTCTCCTTCCAGGTATAATGAGCTATCTTTTAATGTTTTAGCTCCAGCAGTTGCACTCTCCTTCCAGGTATAATGAGCTATCTTTAATGCTTTAGCTCCAGCAGTTGCACTCTCCTTCCAGGTATAATGAGCTATCTTTAATGTTTTAGCTCCAGCAGTTGCACTCTCCTTCCAGGTATAATGAGCTGTCTTTTAATGCTTTAGCTCCAGCAGTTGCACTCTCCTTCCAGGTATAATGAGCTATCTTTTAATGTTTTAGCTCCAGCAGTTGCACTCTCCTTCCAGATATAATGAGCTATCTTTTTAATGTTTTAGCTCCAGCAGTTCACTCTCCTTCCAGGTATAATGAGCTATCTTTTAATGTTTTAGCTCCAGCAGTTGCACTCTCCTTCCAGGTATAATGAGCTATCTTTTAATGTTTTAGCTCCAGCAGTTGCACTCTCCTTCCAGGTATAATGAGCTATCTTTTAATGTTTTAGCTCCAGCAGTTGCACTCTCCTTCCAGGTATAATGAGCTATCTTTTAATGTTTTAGCTCCAGCAGTTGCACTCTCCTTCCAGATATAATGAGCTATCTTTTAATGTTTTAGCTCCAGCAGTTGCACTCTCCTTCCAGGTGTAATGAGCTATCGTTTAATGTTTTAGCTCCAGCAGTTGCACTCTCCTTCCAGGTATAATGAGCTATCTTTTAATGTTTTAGCTCCAGCAGTTGCTCTCTCCTTCCAGGTATAATGAGCTATCTTTTAATGTTTTAGCTCCAGCAGTTGCTCTCTCCTTCCAGGTATAATGAGCTATCTTTAATGCTTTAGCTCCAGCAGTTGCTCTCTCCTTCCAGGTATAATGAGCTATCTTTAATGCTTTAGCTCCAGCAGTTGCACTCTCCTTCCAGGTATAATAAGCTGTCTTTTAATGTTTTAGCTCCAGCAGTTACACTCTCCTTCCAGGTATAATGAGCTGTTTTTTAATGTTTTAGCTTCAGCAGTTGCACTCTCCTTCCAGGTATAATGAGCTGTCTTTTAATGTTTTAGCTCCAGCAGTTGCACTCTCCTTCCAGGTATAATGAGCTGTCTTTTAATGTTTTAGCTCCAGCAGTTGCACTCTCCTTCCAGGTATAATGAGCTATTTTAATGTTTTAGCTCCAGCAGTTGCACTCTCCTTCCAGGTATAATGAGCTATCTTTTAATGTTTTAGCTCCAGCAGATGCACTCTCCTTCCAGGTATAATGAGCTATCTTTTAATGTTTTAGCTCCAGCAGATGCACTCTCCTTCCAGGTATAATGAGCTATCTTTTAATGTTTTTAGCTCCAGCAGTTGCACTCTCCTTCCAGATATAATGAGCTATCTTTTAATGTTTTAGCTCCAGCAGTTTCACTCTCCTTCCAGGTATAATGAGCTGTCTTTTAATGTTTTAGCTCCAGCAGATGCACTCTCCTTCCAGGTATAATGAGCTGTCTTTTAATGTTTTAGCTCCAGCAGTTGCACTCTCCTTCCAGGTATAATGAGCTATCTTTTTAATGTTTTAGCTCCAGCAGATGCACTCTCCTTCCAGGTATAATGAGCTATCTTTTAATGCTTTAGCTCCAGCAGATGCACTCTCCTTCCAGGTATAATGAGCTATCTTTTAATGTTTTAGCTCGAGCAGATGCACTCTCCTTCAAGATATAATGAGCTATCTTTTAATGTTTTAGCTCCAGCAGTTTCTCTCCTTCCAGGTATAATGAGCTGTCTTTTAATGTTTTAGGTCCAGCAGATGCACTCTCCTTCCAGGTATAATGAGCTGTCTTTTAATGTTTTAGCTCCAGCAGTTGCACTCTCCTTCCAGGTATAATGAGCTGTCTTTTAATGTTTTAGCTCCAGCAGATGCACTCTCCTTCCAGGTATAATGAGCTGTCTTTTTAATGTTTTAGCTCCAGCAGATGCACTCTCCTTCCAGGTATAATGAGCTATCATTTAATGTTTTAGCTTCAGCAGTTGCATTCTCCTTCCAGGTATAATGAGCTGTCTTTTAATGTTTTAGCTCCAGCAGTTGCACTCTCCTTCCAGGTATAATGAGCTCTTTTTTAATGTTTTAGCTCCAGCAGATGCACTCTCCTTCATGATATAATGAGCTATCGTTTAATGTTTTAGCTCCAGCAGTTGCACTCTCCTTCCAGGTATAATGAGCTATCTTTTAATGTTTCAGGTCCAGAAGCTATACACTTATTCCAAGTAAAATAAGTTTGGCTTTCATTGCTTTAGCTCGAGCTGTGACACCACCACCAAGTATATTGAGTTTTAATTGAGTCTTTGTTTTAGGTGTCAGATTTAATATTGGTCTTTCCTTTCATGCTCTTGTTGAGCTGCACCACCTCCTAGTATCACGAATGTTTCTTCTTAGGGCATCATTCTTATTTTCTGTGTATCTCATCGCCTGACCGACCCTCATTTTATTGCCGACCAAAAATAGAAAACAATTTATTTTTTCATTCCAACACCGCCGGCTCGGGGACTGTCAGCTTCCTATGTCTGTGAGCCCTGACTGTCTAATTGATGTCTAACTGTCAAACTGTCACTTTTTACAGAATAACTGAAACACATTTACGAGAATGTATCTTGAATTTAATTGCAAAACATTCTATTAAAATCGATTGATCTGCAAAGATTTCATTATTTAATGCTAGTATTTTATTCATAGGTGTTATCTTATTTTGGGTGAGTTTTATCATTAAATACTGTTATCTTTTTCTCAGTTGCCAAAAGTAGCCCATTTCTGGTGACCCCCGCCGTGATATTGCTGGAATATTGCTAAAAGCGGCGTAAAACTAAACTCAGTCAGTCAGTCAGTCAGTCAGTTGCCAAAAGTTTGAAAAGCAGAGAACGCGAGAAATTATAATATCAATTACAATAAATGAGAATCAAGAACACTATTCAGATAATTTTGACTTTACTGTCCTTTTTAAGGTTTAGAAAGGCCTATAATACCGAAATCGAGAGACCGTGGGGGCTATTTTCTGCCAATAACCTCATGTTCCTCCTGGTAGTTTTTAATAATTCTGGCCCAAAGTACAGGGGCATTGATAACTATGAGTTGGAATGGTTCATTGGTAAGACGTCATGATAATACTGGCCACAGATTGATTTCTTGAATGCTACTACTTCCAATTTCTTGAAGGTGACGCGGCCCCATACCATCAAAGACTCTGTATGCAGCAAGGGCCGACATACTAACTGAGGTCAGTTTACTTCATCACCCTTTCTCCACACATACACACGCGTGTCCCCTCCAATAACAACCTGACTTTCGTAGGAAGCTCCAGTAATTACCAACTGTGAAATTCTTCCGTCCCCAACACCACAACCTGTGTTTATTTCAAACTGACTTCCTCAAATGATGCTGTTTAAATCCTTTAAAATTTCATCGTTTCCCAATTGCACAGGTCGATGCTCATGCTTTTGATCAATGGGTTGTCTGATCCAGACTTGATTATTTAAAACTAAAACTAAAGTACTCACTCCTTTCAAATTTCATTTTCTTCTGACAGTTCTCTCACTGAATGTTTGGATATTTTTTGCATTGAATTTGTTTGTAATATTCCCCGATGTTGCCCGACGATTGTTTTTTTGACACACCTTATCAACAACGGTCACGATCCGTAAACAGATTTCTTCGTTCGCTTCGCCGTTGGGTTCATATCTTGTAACTACAATTTTTACAGTAGACCAAGATTTGTCCAACAGCTGAACTTTGCTACTCAGCGTTTGTGAATGATATTTTATACAGAATAGTTACCCGTATTTTGATTTTGAGATTGCCGATGAAAATTCGTATTGGCCAGCTGCTCAGAGTGGGAAGCGTATTTTCTTTCAAACCAATCCATCGGGCAATTCGCGTTCGTCAATTTGGACTTAGTCTCCAAAGAGAGCGGTGGGCATCGTTTCCGGAGCACAACCGTTCAATATCTTTCAACAAGACTTGGCAGATATATCAAACAGATCTTGTGGTGTCTTTTGCTATTTGCAGATTGTTGGCATTTGTGTTTTGTTTCGATTCCTATGGAAATGATTTGGACTTCTTTAAGTAACTGTCAGATGATTTGGTCTCTTCTGATGGGGTGGGTGGGGGTGGGTGGGGGTGGGGTGGGTGGCTGTAGTTTTTTGTTTTAGCTGTGTCATTCCCATTATGAATCCTTGAAAAGAGTTCTAACACGACGAACAATTCGGGTTGAAATACTTTATATGTATATTCGACAATCATTACATTCATTTGTTACATGCTTCTATAACGTAGTGTGTTGTTCATGAGCAAAGTGTCCTGTGTGTGTTTACAACCACGAGTAAGAGTCTTTTCCGCCGCTTTCAGCAATACTCCAGCAGTACCACTGCAGGGGACACCAGAAATGAGATTCACACATTGCACCCATGTGTGGAATCGAACCAGGGTCATCGGCGTGACGAGCGAACGCTTTAACCACGAGGCTACCCCACCTGTCCAGCCACAAGTAAGAACCGCGCCAGGTGTTTCCGGGTTAAGTACATCCAGAGAACCCCATGTATTTAAGACGCAACTGTTGACAATAGGTCAGGTACAAACTGTGAGCTGGTTGGCCGAGTGTTTTCGTTCCCCATCTGCTCTGTTCCTTCATCACTCTGCTCACCGCAGTGATGAAGTAGAACACAATGTCCTCACTCACTCAACAGTGATGGCTGTTACCACTGTCATAATGGCATCAATGATCTGATGACTCTTCAAGATCCGGGTTAAAATTGGTCTTCAGCAACCCATGCTTGTAGGAGGCCACTAACGGGATCGGGTGGTCAGGCTCGCTGATTGGTTGACACATGTCATCGTACCCCAATTGCGTAAATTGATGCTCATGCTGTTGATCGTCGGATTGCCTTGAGTATAACAGACCGCCGCTGTACAGTTGGTCTATTGCTGAGTGTTAACAACAATAAGAACACAAATCATTGATCTGATAGTTTGATCAGTAAGCGACTAAGTCTAACAAAACATCTCAATAATTTGTTTCTGCATTAACATATCTGAAATATCCCATCCAATAACATATGGTGTTATGTTAGTAAAATATGAAGTATTTTGACAGGAATAATCTCATCACAATCAGATTATTGAATTACGACTATATCACAATTATTGACACATCATGAAATGCTGATGATACAAGGTGATGTGAACCGATGGCATTTGATACAAACACTTGCATAGGCATGTCACTTGTTCAACTGCAGAAACTCGGTACCATACGAAGAAGTAAAACTACGAAAGTACATTTTCTTCCAGGATGCGTCAAATTTATATAATGTTCTCCACATTTTAAGATGTTTTGAAATTTTTAAGGCCTTTGATTTGCAACCCTTATTTTGAAGAAGAGTTGTCTGATGCTCTTAAATATCTATGACCCGTGAAGGTCCGGGTTAGAATGAGCCTTCAGTTACCCATGCTTGTCGTAAGAGGCGACTAACGGGATCGGATGGTCAGGCTCGCTGGCTTGATTGACACATGTCATCAGTTCCCAATTGCGCAGATCGATACTCATGCTGTTGATAACTGGATTGTCTGGTCCAGACTCGATTATTTACAGACCGCCGCCATATAGCTGGAATATTGCTGAGTGCAATTAAACTCACTCACTAACTTAAATATCTATGACCAGAAGCCAGAGCCCAGAGCTCTCCTGCTTCATGTCGTATGCAAAGATGTTTGATCAACTGAAGGTAATTGATTAATATCATTATCCGCATTCAGCGTGGTCAAGGAAATAGAAAGTAGGCCCTCTGTTGGAATGTTCAGTGTCTGTGTCTAGCGAACACCCACAGTCCTTCAGTTGACTTCATCACGGCGGCATTCCTTCGTCCCACTTTGTGGCTTGTATCTACCTCTAACTTGTATCTGGAACACGAAATAAACACGCATTTTCCACATTGCAGCATATATGTTTGTTGTCTAACACCGCACTCGGCAATATTCTAGCAATATGGCGGCGGTCAGTAAATAATCGATTTTGGATCAGACTAGCCAATGGTCAACAGCATGAACATTGATTTACGCAAGTGGTATGCTATGACGTGTGTCAACCAAGTCGCCTGACCCCGTTGGTCGACTCTTTGGACAAACATGGGTTGCCAAAGACCAATTTTAACTCGTGATTGACATCACATCACAGGTTACCCGTGATTGAAATCATATAATGATCAATCGTTAAAGACAATATACCTTTGAAGGATTCTTCCAAGCATGAGCTTCTCTTCGTTCAGGGCAAAATGTTGTCCGATACAGTTTCTGGAAAGTAAATATCAGCATGATCACATGTTCTTTTCGGATATATTTGTGAAGCGGAAATGAAATATCACAAATCGGTTCCCGAAAAAACCCTATAGAGACGTAATTTGTATTGTCAATAGATTATCATGTTTCTACACGGTTTAATTCATAGAAAAGGGGCTGCAAAAGTGATTTTTGTTACACATTGAACTTTAACAATATCTTTAGTAGGAATCGGATAATGAATGATGGATTGTCGCTCATTTTAAGTGAAAAGAACGAACTAATTTCTTACTTTCGATGGTCAGGTTCAATCTTGGGGATACGAGTAATATTTCATGTTTCTGTATAAACTAGAGCATTAGAATCCGCCATTATGAGTAAGAAAGCTATCACAACAAACCTAACCCTACAGAGAGACTGGCTTGACACACCCGCTAAAGTTGTAGTATTACCATGGGGCAATAGGTTATCTCAATCCGACAGAGACTGACTTGACCCATCCACTTAAGGTGTAGCATTACCATCGGGCACTACGTTATCTTAACTGTACAGATAGACTCACTAAAGATGTGGTATTACTATGGGAACCAATGCGATCCTAGCCTTACAGAGAGACTGGCTCGACACACCCACCGCTGTTGTGGTATTACCATGGGCCATAAGGTATTCCTTACCCTTCAGGGTAACAGCTTGACACACCCACTAACGCTCTAGTATGTAAATCTACAGAGAGCCCCGAGAGCATGGAGGATTACCTCGGGCCAGCGGAGAAGGGGATGTATGCGTAGCTGTCCTTCTTCTGGATGTTCTCGGGCAGAAACCGATCAGGGTCATATACATCTGGGTCCTCCCATACGTCCGGGTTGTGATGGACTTGCCATATTCCTAGTGAAATGAGTGTTCCAACCGGAAAAACCTTCCCGTCGATGTCCATAGGATGTTCCAGTTCCCGACTGACGAACGGAACAGGCGAGTGGAACCTCATCCCTTCCTTTAGACATCGTGTCAGGTACTCCATCTTGGGGATGTCATCCCTAATTAATAACATATACAGGTTGCATGAAGGTTCCACCTACAGAAGGCTCATCAATGTCCAAATATGAGGCTAATCGGTTTCTGAAGATCTGAAAAAGTGTTTGGTGTGGCGTCAAACCAAGCCAGAAACTAGTTCTGAAGAGTAATCTGTAAGTGGGGATCTCGGATTTCAAAAACAACAGGAATATGCCATACCAGGGGAAGAATCATACCGTTTTATGCATTTCCAGGAAATGTTTATTTCTACTTGTGTTCACTACCAGGTGCAATGCCTTACCGGGTATAACAACCCCGAGATGTGGCATGTGATCTGCTCTCCCCGAATATGAGCCCTTCAAGTTATGTGCCCGACCTAGGAATATGCCCTACTGGGGTATGTACGTCAGGTGCCCAACCAGGTGATCTGCACTACCAGTTGATGTCTCCTGCCAGGTGACGTGCCCTACCATGTAATCTGCCCTACCATGTGGTGTGCCCTTCCAGGTAATGCTTTCTACCATGTGATGTGCCCTTCCAGATAATGCGTTGTACCAGGTAATGTGCCCTACCATGTGATGTGCCCTTCCAGATAATGCGTTCTACCATGTAATCTGCAATACCATGTAATGTGCCCTTCCAGATAATGCGTTATACCACGTAATGTGCCCTACCAGGTGATGTACTTGGACTCTCTTCCGTCCAGGAGTGTGTCCAGTTCCTCCTGTATCCTGGTCTGGAACTCCGGTTTGGAGGCCATGGTGAACAGCGTCCATGATATCCCACTGGCCGTTGTGTCGTGACCTTTACAACAAAAGATCTACTTTAAAAGATATGCTGACACACTTTTCCTGACAGCAATAACGAATCTGAAGGCGGTGAACAGCAAAGCATTTGCAGACTTCCGTCCCACCTTTTCAAGATACCCCTGCCACAAGTGAACTCTTCCATTTAAATTTATATAGAGAGCAATACTACAGAAAAGCGTCAGCTCTGGATCCCTGTCCTGGCCAATGCAAAGTACATGAAAGTACATTAGGCAAGGAAACTTTTTCCAGGAAATGGAAATAAACATAAAGACACTTATCAGTTAAAATAGACCTTTTGCTTATTTAATTTTGGATCAGAGAGCTACAACGATGTTTCTAAAACAGTGAGGCCTTGCATTAGGATTGTATATTGTCAGATGCACATGCGGGGCGGTGGGGTAGCCTAATGGTTAAAGCGTTAGCTTGTCACGCCGAAGACCCGGGTTCGAATCCCCACATGGGTACAATGTGTGAAGCCCATTTCTGGTGTCCCCCGCCGTGATGTTGCTGGAATATTGCTAAAAACGGCGTAAAACCAAACTCAGTCAGTCAGATGCACATGCTCATGCTTGCAATACCTGTTTCATCAAAAAGGCTAAGGGCAACAACACTGTCCCTGTTTGAGTAATGATATATGCCACAGACAGTATCCCTGATATAGGGATAGTGACCGTACCTTCAAATAGAAACGTGTCGACTTCATTCCTGATCTCTAGCGGGGTGAGACCCTTGCCATCACCATCTCTGGCACTGAGCAGGACGTCCAGGAAGTCGAGGTAGCGGGTCTTCGGGGGTCCATCTCTCTCCTACACACAATACACCGTATGTTACATACCACACAATATTACAAACACAAACTATGAGTGAGTTGTACACCGCTTTTAGCAATATTCCAGCAATATCACGGCGGGGGACACCAGAACACAAAACTGCAACACGCAAAGGGAACCCACACGTATACAACATAATGTCACACAATACACTTTTGTACACTTATTGCAGTTTTACACCCACAGACCAGTGTTACGCTGTCGCATGTCAACACACAGTACAAAGTCACATGTACATACACAATAGAATGTCCACGCAGAGTACAATGTCACATGTACATACACAGTACAATGTCCACACACAGTATATTGTCACTTGTACATACACAGTACAATGTCACATGTACATACACAGTACAATGTCACATGTACATACACAGTACAATGTCACATGTACATACACAGTACAATATCCACACAGAGTACAATGTCACATGTACATACACACTACAATATCCATACAGAGTACAATGTCACATGTACATACACACTACAATGTCCACACACAGTACAATGTCCAGACTACAATGTCAAATGTACATACACAATACAATGTGCACACAGAGTACAAAGTCACATGTACATACACACAACAATGTCCACACAGAGAACAATGTCACATGTACATACACACTACAATGTCCACACAGAGTACAATGTTACATGTACATACACAGTACAATGTCCACACAGAGTACAATGTCAAATGTACATAGACAATACAATGTGCACACAGAGTACAATGTCACATGTACATACACTATACAATGTCCACACAGAGTACAATGTCACATGTACATACACAGTACAATGTCCATACACAATACAATGTCACATGTACATACACAGTACAATGTCCACAGAGAGTACATTGTCACTTGTACATACACAGTACAATGTCACATGTACATACACAGTACAATGTCCAGACTACAATGTCAAATGTACATACACAATACAATGTGCACACAGAGTACAATGTCACATGTACATACACAGTACAATGTCCACACAGAGTACAATGTCACATGTACATACACAGTACAATGTCCACACAGTACAATGTCCACACAGAGTACAATTACAGTGGTGGATCGTGGTCCTATTAGAGCCCAGGCCACAAATCAGTTGAAGTTAAGCAACGATGGGCGCGGAGAGTCCTTGGATGGGTGACTGTATTTAGCTGCTAGACTCCTGAGAGTTTCCAGGACTTCAGTACTTCACCACAACGAAGCACAAGTGATACATGTGGTCTTACCTTAGGCAAGTGAGTTTGTTCAAAATTGCCTATAATAACTGTCTATTTGAATACTCTTTGAGCATGCACTTGGTGTATGGAACATAGCGCTATAGAAGTACACATTATTATAGTATCATTACAATACTACACATATAATACACTTCCCACAGTGTTACAAAACACTACATTAGTACATTCACTGGACAATATTTCCAACAATATACACTGCAATGTTACATACTCGTTACAATCTTACAAACAGACAGTTACATACACACTGCAATGTTACCATACAATGTTACATATGAAGTACAATTCTAAACAGTACAATGTTTCACATGAAGGCCACACACGGTACAATGTTACACTACTCAGTATATTTGGGTGTGTGTGTGTGTGTGTGTGTGTGTGTGTGTCCTATTTCGGCCTTCAATCACCAAGGACATTTCTACAAATGAATGGTTTCAAAGTTTGACACTGACCAAGGCCTGTCGCCTCTTCTCGATGATGTCCTCCGCCCAGCGATGTACAAAGTCACACTGTTTCTTAAACTTCTTACCAGAGGAAGAGTTGAAGAAGATAAAGTCAGGGTGATGCCATGGGGTACTGAAAGCAAATGTATCACCATCTACTCTCTGGACAATATTACTTTTACAAGTTCAAATATTGCCTTCAAAATACAATAAAGCTCCTCTGATATAATGTGGGGCGGTGGTGTAGCCTACTGGTAAAAGCGTACGCTCGTCACGCCGAAGACCCGGGATCGATTCCTCACACGGGTACAATGTGTGAAGCCCTTTTCCGTTCTCCCCTCGCCGTGATTTCGCTGGAACATTGCTAAAAGCGGCGGAAAACTAAACTCACTCACTCTGTCTGCTATTTTGTGTAAATGACATCATTCTACAAAAATAGTTTGGGCTTTTTGCTCTCAGAAGAACTAAATATAATATATTGAAGGCACAATGATGGGTTGCAGGCACTTGTAAAGAATTTTTTTTTTAAACTATGGACTTACATAACTGATGCCGTTTTCTTTAATCTACGCGATTTCTACGTGCTCCATTGCCTAGATGATCTATTCGCACGCAGTAGAAGCTCTAGGACATGTATGCTAAACTTATTTCTTCAAAAGCATTCCCGCCAGAAGCCAGAAATCATGCTGTTGTTCATCACTAGACAATCTGGTCCAGACTCGCCTATATACAGACCGCCGCCATACAGCTGGAACATACTTAATGCGGCGCTAAATAACAAGCAAGCAAGCAAGCAAGCAAACAAACAAACAAGCAAACACTTTGTATAAGTTTTTGCCGGACACCTCGTGGCCCGAGGTATTCTCTCATACTTACAGGACTCGATCGGTAGCCAGGGCGAGTAAGTCATTCACTGCGTTTACATACGGGTGTGTTTCCCTGAAAGCAAAGTACTCAGCTGTTTAAAAATACAGGGTTCGAACGTAAATCGTTAATTATATACATATACATTAAAATATATTATCTGAAGCAAAATATATCTTTTGTTCGTAAAAATCGGATAATAATGCTATAAGACATTCGTACATTCCCCGAACTCACTTATATTGTCATATTGTGTCCGTTCTTATCCGTGTTGCTGTATCTTATCTTCACCGAACTCACACATATTGCCATATTGTGTCCGTTCTCATCCCTGTTCGTGCATGTCACAATCACCGAACTCACCCATATTGCCATATTGTGTCCGTTCTCATCCCTGTTCGTGCATGTCACAATCACCGAACTCACCCATATTGCCATATTGTGTCCGTTCTCATCCCTGTTCGTGCATGTCACAATCACCGAACTCACCCATATTGTCATATTGTGTCCGTTCTCACCCGTGTTAGTGCATGTCACATTAACCGAACTCACACATATTGCCATATTGTGTCCGTTCTCACCCGTGTTAGTGCATGTCACAATCACCGAACTCACCCATATTGTCATATTTTGTCCGTTCTCATCCCTGTTCGTGCATGTCACAATCACCGAACTCACCCATATTGTCATATTGTGTCCTTTCTCACCCGTGTTAGTGCATGCCACATTCTCCGAACTCACCCATATTGTCATATTGTGTCCGTTCTCACCCGTGTTGGTGCATATCACATTCTCCGAACTCACCCATATTGTCACAACCAAGTCAGCGAGCTTGATCACCGGATCCCGTCAGTCGCCTCTTACGACACGCGTGGGTTACTGAAAATGAATTCTAACCTGGATCTTCACGGGTAATAATTCCTCGTATTATGACAAACTGCTTATTATAAGTCCTCGTTTTCGCCTATGTTGCTGTCCCATGTCCAGTTCTCCGTACTAGTCCTTGCTGCTGTCTAAAAAATTCTCCACACTTTCCGATGGTGCATCATTTTTTATTCTCATTACTTCAAATGACCCTGTCTGTCATTCACCGTTCTTACACATACTGCTGTCTGACAGATCCGCCGTATTCGCCCGAGATGTAAGATATCTAACTCCCGTACTCACCCCTGTTGCTGTATGTTTTCCTTGACCGACATGGCGCATCTCAACAGGATGTCAAATGTACACAGGCCGACCATGTTGAACAACTCGAAGCTGGTGCCTTCCTCCACGTGCTTGTCAATCTTCTCCTGTTAACCAAATCGTGTTAGGTAAGATGCTCACGTCGCAGAATGATCTCAGCTTACATTGGAATCATGTGAATAACTGAATCCGAGTCCTCACTATTTCAAGTAAATAGCAATCGTGAACATCCGGGTTAAAATTGGTCTTCAGTAACCCATGCTTGTCGTAAGAGGCGACTAACGGGATCGTGTGGTCAGGCTCGATAACTTGGTTGACACATGTCATCGTATAACAACTGCGTAGAATGATGCCCATGTTGTTGATCACTGGATTGTCTGGGCCAGACTTCATTATTTACAGACCGCCGCCATATAGCTGGAATATTTCTGAGCGCGGTGTAAACTAAACTCACTCACTCACCCAAGTATATCGCGACCAACTGTTGTGAAGCTCGCTCTGAATTGGGGCACCTAACACGACTTGACCCTCCTATATACAGGTAGTCAAACCCGGAACTTCAGTGTCTCAAGCTTCAACTATACCGTGGTCAGGTCAAGCATAGTGGATAATACTTATTCTGTATAATATGTCACCTAAAGCCTGACGTATAAGCTGACGCTGAAGGATAGGACAACTCAGGGACAGTGATAGTTAAAGGAAGTATACAGGAAGAACTATATACAGTCACAATATCAACATCATCATCAATTATCATCAATCATCATCTTCAGCCATCATCCATCATCATCAGCCATCATCACCATCCATCATAATAAATTATCATCATCCATCATCGGCCATCATCAACCATCATCCACCATCATCAACCATCATCATTAAACATCATCGATCTTCATCAATCATCATCCATTATCATCAAACGCCATAATCCGTCATTATCAACCATCATCCAATGTCATCAACCACCATCCATCATCATAAACCTTCATCCACCTTCATCATCCGTCATCCATCATCATCATCATCATCATCATCATCATCATCATCCATCATCATCATCATCATCATCGATCATCATCGATCATCATCACCATCATCGATCATCATCAATCATCATCCATCATCATCATCATCATCATCATCATCATCATCATCATCATCATCATCATCCATCATCCATCATCATCATCATCATCATCATCATCATCCATCATCATCATCATCATCATCATCATCATCATCATCATCATCCATCATCATCATCATCATCCATCATCATCATCATCATCATCCATCATCATCATCATCATCATCCATCATCATCCATCATCATCATCATCATCATCATCATCATCATCACCATCATCATCATCATCATCCATCATCATCATCATCCACCATCATCATCATCATCATCATCATCATCATCATCATCATCCATCATCATCATCATCATCATCGTCATCATCATCCATCATCATCATCATCATCATCATCATCATCACCATCATCATCATCCATCATCATCCATCATCATCATCATCAATCATCATCATCATCATCATCCATCATTACACATCATCATCATCATCCATCATCATCATCATCATCATCATCATCATCCATCATCATCATCATCATCATCCATCATCATCATCATCATCATCATCATCATCATCCATCATCATCATCCATCCATCGTCCATCATCATCCATCATCCATCATCCATCATCATCCATCATCATCATCATCATCATCATCATCATCATCATCATCATCATCATCATCATCATCATCCATCATCATCAATCATCATCCATCATCATCATCCATCATCATCATCATCATCATCATCATCATCATCATCATCATCATCATCATCATCATCATCATCATCATCATCATCATCATCATCATCATCATCATCATCATCATCATCATCATCCATCATCATCATCATCATCCATCATCATCATCATCATCATCATCATCATCATCATCATCATCATCATCATCATCATCATCATCATCATCATCATCATCATCATCATCATCATCATCCATCATCATCATCATCATCATCATCATCATCATCATCATCATCATCATCATCCATCCATCATCATCATCATCATCATCATCATCATCATCATCATCATCATCATCATCATCATCATCATCCATCATCATCATCCATCATCATCATCATCATCATCATCATCATCATCATCATCATCATCAATCATCATCATCATCATCATCATCATCATCATCATCCATCATCATCATCATCATCATCATCCATCATCCATCATCATCCATCATCCATCATCATCATCATCATCATCATCATCATCATCATCATCATCATCCATCATCATCATCATCATCATCATCAAATCGTCATCATCATCATCCATCATCATCATCATCATCATCATCATCATCATCATCCATCATCAATCATCATCATCATCATCATCATCCATCATCATCATCCATCATCATCATCATCATCATCATCATCATCATCATCATCATCATCATCATCATCATCATCATCATCATCATCATCATCATCATCATCATCATCATCATCATCATCATCATCATCATCATCATCATCATCATCATCATCATCATCATCATCATCATCCATCATCATCATCCATCATCATCCATCGATCATCATCATCATCAATCATCATCATCATCATCCATCATCATCCATCATCATCATCATCATCATCATCATCATCATCATCATCATCAATCATCATCATCCAGCATCATCATCCATCAACCATCATCATCATCCGTCATCATCCATTGTCATCAACATCATCCGTCATCATCAACCATCATCAATCGTCATCATCATCATCCATCATCATCAACCATCATCCAGCATCATCAACCATCATCCAGCATCATCAGCCATCAACCGTCATCATCCGTCGTCATCAACATCATCCATCATCCTCAACCATCATCCATCATCATCAACCATCTTTCATTATCAACCATCTTTCATCATCATCAACCATCTTTCATCAGCATCAACATCATCAAACATCACTATCAACCATCATCATCAACCACCATCATCATCCATCATCCCTCATCATCACCCACCACCATCCATCATCATCAACCATAATCCATCATCATCAACCATCATCCATCATCATCAAACACCATCCATCATCATCAAACACCATCCATTATCATCATCCGTCATCAGACATCATCCATCATCATCATCCATCATCCATCATCATCAACCATCATCGATCATCATCATCATCATCAACCACCATCCATCATCATTATCCTTCATCAACCATCATGCATCATCATCATCCACCATCAACCATCATCATCATCCATCGTCATCATCATCATCAATCATAAGCCATCATCAATCACCATCATCCATCATCATCGTCCATCATCACCAACCATCTCCATCATCACCAACCATCTCCATCATCACCAACCATGATTGCTATTGACACAAACCTGTGTTAACTAATCAGCAGGTGTGCCCTATCACACAAGTGAGGTATCATTTGAACATTGCAAACTTGAAGTTATATGTGTTGTATGCATGTAACATGTCGTAATTGGCTTACCAGCATGGTGTCAATGGCGTTGTTTGAGACGTCGATGTAGGGTTTGAGGATGTCGAAGTGGAAGGCGGGGGTAAGGAGACGACGAGCTCGGTACCAGCGTTGTCCCCCCGGCAATCAGGAGACCCTCCCCAAGCCAGGGTACCAGTGGTTCATATGAGACTCCTATTCCCCTTGGTTTTGGCTCTGTGCAATATCAAGGGTGAAATATCCCTGAATGATAGTTCTTATCATATTTGCATGGAAACACATTTCAAATACACTCTCTCAAAAAAGAAACGCAACCCCTGTTTTTTGGGGTAATGTTTATATCAATTTTAACTGGTTATTACATTTGTATTTTTAAAGAGAATGCCATGAAATTTGACATGGTGAACCTTAGGTCAGCACGGTATAAGGTAACAGTTAATGCAGGTCAGTATCGAACTCTCAATTTACGCTAGGGGGCGTTGTCTTCAGTATCTCGTTGTAGAGCCACGAGCTCTAATCACAGCAGTGCACCTCCTCGGAACAGAACGAATCAGACGGCGGATGTTTTCCTGGGGGGATTGCTCTCCACTCTTCCTGGAGTGCTGCGGCCAGTTCAACCAACGTGTGCGGTTGTGGTGTACGTGCACGAACACGACGATCCAGCTGGTCCCACAGATGTTCGATAGGATTGATGTCTGGCGATCTGGAGGGCCACGGCATCACGTTGACGTTTGAATTCTGTAGGAATGCCACTGTTGCACGAGCTGTATGAGGACGGGCATTGTCATGTTGAAACAACTCCCTCTGTTGGTCGATTATCGGCAGAAGATGTGGCTGTAAGACGTCATCAATGTACCGTTGTGCCGTCAAATTGCCACGAATGATGACCAAGTCTGACCGTTGGTTGTAAGACATGGCTCCCCATACCATGATGCTTCCTCCTCCAAATCTGTCAACCTGTCGAACGCAGTTCGGTGCAAAACGTTCATTTGCTCGTCTATAGACACGTTGTCTACCGTCACGTCGTTGAAGAAGAAAACGAGACTAGTCACTAAACCAGACTCTTCTCCAGTTTCTGAGGGTCCATCTCCTTACGTTAGTACACCACCTGAGACGTTGGCGTCGATGTTGGCGTTTCAAGACGGGCCCAACAACTGGTCTTCTTGCACGTAAATTTGCCTCATGTAAACGGTTCCTGATGGTTTGGGCCGATACTCTCCTCAAACCTGGCACCTGTGTTGCAGTGATGGTGGGTGTGGCATGCCGATTACGTAGGTGGCTGAGTCGAATAAAGCGATCCTGAGCCGGTGTGGTGATCCTAGGTCTACCGCTCCTGGGACGATCTTCAATTGCATGGAAATGTGTGTAACGATTCCAAAGTCGTGAGATTGTTGTTTTGTGTACGTTTAGATGACGGGCAACTGTTCCAAAGCTTTCCCCGGCCTCAATGCGACCAATGGCAATATTTCGATTTGCTGTACTCAAACGGGGCATTTTCGAACTTGATTTGCAGAGCAAAATATGAGAGAAAAATTACAAACTACGCGTGCTTTTAAAACCCTCTACATGAACTGTGTTTTCAACGATTTGCACGTGCAACAGGCTTTTAGCATTTTGTACATGACAATTTCGCACTTTCTCAAATAACACGGATACAAAGGTCATCATGTGTGAAAATGGTTCCGTTTGGGAGCTTATACTGATCAGATGGGAACGTATTAACAGTATTTTGAAGAAAATTCTAATAACACGTCACAATTTAATTCTGGACTCACAAAAGTCCAGAAACTCTCCGCACTGTGGGCACTTTCTGACAAGGGATTTGACCTAATTAAACATGCAGTTGTTATGAATATATGCCAAGGATGAAAAAATGAAAAAAAATTCTTTCGAAAACTTTAAATTTAAACTCGCTCGCCCATGGGCAGGCCCATGGGCGAACAGTGGCCCATGGGCGAGAATGTTTAATTTCGATCAGAATTCATGTTTTGGAGGTTGTAAATGAATGAGTGTATGTTTGTAAGCATCATGAAACAAATTTCGACTCATTTTGACTTAATTCGACTAATTTAGAGCGATATTAAAAAATCTCGCCCATGGGCGAAAAACATTTTGGCCCATGGGCGAGAATATTGACTTTTACTCAAAATACATGTTTTCCCATGTTTTTGAGGTTGTAAATGAATGAGTGTATGTTTATAAGCATCATGACACAAATTTCAACTCATTTTAACTTAATTTGACTAACTTAGAGCGATATTAAAAAATCTCGCCCATGGGCGAAAAATAGGTTGGCCCATGGGCGAGAATATTGACTTTTACTCAAAATACATGATTTTCCATGTTTTGGAGGTTGTAAATGAATGAGTGTATGTTTATAAGTATCATGAAACAAAACTCAACTCACATTGACTTAATTCGACTAACATAGAACGATATTAAAAAATCTCGCCCATGGGCGAAACACATTTTGGCCCATGGGCGAGAATATTGACTTTTACTCAAAATACATGATTTTCCATGTTTTGGAGGTTGTAAATGAATGAGTGTATGTTTATAAGTATCATGAAACAAAACTCAACTCACATTGACTTAATTCGACTAACTTAGAACGATATTAAAAAATCTCGCCCATGGGCGAAACACATTTTGGCCCATGGGCGAGAATATTGACTTTTACTCAAAATACATGATTTTCCATGTTTTGGAGGTTGTAAATGAATGAGTGTATGTTTATAAGTATCATGAAACAAAATTCAACTCACATTGACTTAATTCGACTAACTTAGAACGATATTAAAAAATCTCGCCCATGGGCGAAACACATTTTGGCCCATGGGCGAGAATATTGACTTTTACTCAAAATACATGATTTTCCATGTTTTGGAGGTTGTAAATGAATGAGTGTATGTTTATAAGTACCTTGAAACAAATTTCAACTCATATTGACTCCATTTGACTAACTTAGAGCGATGTTAAAAAATCTCGCCCATGGGCGAAACACATTTTGGCCCATGGGCGAGAATATTGACTTTTACTCAAAATACGTGATTTTCCATGTTTTGGAGGTTGTAAATGAATGAGTGTATGTTTATAAGTACCTTGAAACAAATTTCAACTCATATTGACTCCATTTGACTAACTTAGAGCGATGTTAAAAAATCTCGCCCATGGGCGAAACACATTTTGGCCCATGGGCGAGAATATTGGCTTTTACTAAAATACATGATTTTCCATGTTTTGGAGGTTGTAAATGAATGAGTGTATGTTTATAAGTACCATGAAACAAAATTCAACTCATATTGACTTAGTTCGACTAACTTAGATGGATGTTAAAAATCTCGCCCATGGGCGAAAAATAGGTTGGCCCATGGGCGAGAATATTTACTTTTATTCAAAGTATATGTTTTCCATGTTTTGGAGGTTGTAAATGAATGAGTGTATGTTTATAAGTATCATGAAACAAAATTCAACTCATATTGACTTAATTTGACTAACTTAGAGTGATATTAAAAAATCTCGCCCATGGGCGAAAAAGAGGTTAGCCCATGGGCGAGAATGTATAATTTCGATCAGAAGTCATGTTTGGGAGGTTGTAAATGAATGAGTGTATGTTTAAAAGCATCATGACACAAATTTCAACTCATTTTGACTTAATTTGACTAACTTAGAGAGACATTAAAAATCTGGATTATTTACGGTAACATGGATTAGCTAATAGCGAATTGCCGGGAGACCCACTTTCACACGATCACTCAACCATACCCATTGCCGGTTGAGCCAAACCATTTTCAACTCTTGTTCTCTTAAAAGTGGCTTTCCCGGACTATAGCTATCAGCACACCCCAATCCGACCATCTGTCATTAATTACCTGTCATGAGCTATCAGTTGTATTATTGAAGCTCTCGCCTATTGTTTCATTACTTAATTGTTTCACGGATTGGTATGTAGTCACTCCAAATTCACCCATATGTGCGTGACTGTCCTCTCCGACGTCCGCGCCCACCTCTCAACCCTAGCAATCTCGATCCACTTTCTGCTCACTATGCCATCTCACTTCATCCAACCACCTGTCTTCTCAGCCGCCTCTATATTCCTTCACAACTCTACCTCCAACAACTACTGTCTCCTCCGAGGTCCGCGCGCCTACAGCCACCACCGACCCCGCCGCCTCTCAAGTACCATCCATAACAAACTCCACGGTCAAGGCCGCCCATAGCCCCTCAATTACTACACTCGCTCAGCCTGCCTTGCCCCCTCAATGCTCCCATACCACCCCTTCACCCCACCCACCCTAGAAGGACTTACAAGGTCCTTTCATACGTTGGCGACTGTGCACAAATTTAGCCATCACTTAAAACACAAGTATCCTACTATTATAAACCTGGTGTATCTAAATTTACTTCAAATGTTTTTAGACATACGTACCCTCTCAAGAAGACAAAACTGTGAAACCCGTAAAGGTCCGGGTCAGAATTGGCCTTCAGTAACCCATGCTTATCGTAAAGGTGACTACCGGGATCGGGTGGTCAGGCTCGCTGGCTTGATTGACACATGTCATCGGTTCCCGATTGCGCCGAACCCGTGAAGATCCGGGTTAGAATTGATCTTCAGTAACCCATGCTTATCGTAAGAGGCGACTAACGGGATCGGGTGGTCAGGCTCGCTGGCTTGGTTGACACATGTCATCGGTTCCCAATTGCGCTGATCGATGTTCATGCTGTTGATCACTGGATTGTCTGGTCCAGGCTCGATTATTTACAGACCGCTGCCATATAGTTGGAATATTGCTGAGTGTGGCGTAAAACTAAACTGACTCATCCAACTGCTTAGATCGATGCTCAATTTGTTGATCACTGGATCGTCTGGTATAGACTCGATTATTTACAGACCGTCGCCATATAGCTGGAATATTGCTGAGTGCAGCCTAAAACTAAACTTACTCGCTCACTCACTCCAAACTGTGAAAATTAGGAACACCTCTAGCTACCAACAATGTCAACAAGAACATAATGGAGTCCCTGCATCAATACATCTTCAAGACTAAACGAATCGATAAATTATTCTAGACCAATATCTGTACGCAAATAATTAAATGTAACTGCAAGTTCAAGGTTCCTAAGCACGTACGTACAATGCACATTTACCCTACCTCATGTAATAATGTCCATCTCTGATTGATTCACGTGACCTTGAACAAATGGTGGACGGAAAA